AAAAACTAATAATTTAAAGCGTAACGGTCGGGACTTTGCAATAGTCCCGCCCGTTACGCTTTAAATTATTAATTTTTAAGGAATTAAACAGTCAATCACGATACCTAATTTTGCCAAATAAAAACCTTGTTAAACAGCTTTAGTTTAGAACTATTTATAAAAATTTGACATTGGTAATATAATAGAACAATATTATTTTGTAAATAAAAACACGGCAACTGTAGTATCCGTTACGCGTGGAATGGCTCATAAGGTGTCAAATGCCCAACCAGTTGACTACTTTAAGTGCAATGGGCTCTAATATTAAAAAAGTCGTTTTTAACAAAAACAATTTAAATAGAATATTCCGCAATGCAGCATCTGCATATTCAACAAAAAAAAACGACTTTTGTTATACACTGTAGCAAAAAATTACTTAAAATCATGTTACCATAAATTTACTGTTGGCCTATATAGCTACATCGCTAATGTTTGGCAATTTCACTATTTGTTCATTGAATTTAAACTGCTTCTTGCGGGCTTTAAAAATGAATCCATAAATTTATGTAATGGGAGTAACTGCAGGAAATGGTCATTAAAACTTCCTGAGTTGTGTGAGTTTAAATTAATTTGGTTTAGTTCGCTATTTTTAAAATAACCATTTAAATTATACACATAATAGTTTTTCTTGTGAAATATTACATTTAGTTGTTTTTTTTCTCTTAAAAAGTGCACAATAATAATTATAAGTAATTTTTAATATTAAATTTAAATAAACAAGATATAAAGATAGTAGATATTGCAATATTGCACCTAGGTAGTTTTTATTAAACATTATGCAAATCTTTTAATGCTTAAAAATAATTTAAAAAATATATTCTTAAAATAAGCTCCACTTCACAGACTTGTTAAATTATATTTTGTTGGCTATTCCACTTATTACTTTATGGACCAATCATATTTCAGAAAACGAGTTGGGCCCAGCTGGGCAATTTGTTTTGACTGGTTCTAAAACAAGAGTGGGAGTTACATTGCGCAGACGCATAATTTCTATCTAGACTCTTGAATAATAATCTAGACTGGTTAATCTAGACAAGACCGCTTAAGTTTTTTTAATCAAGACTTAGGGCCGGTTTTTCAATCGTTGGTTAAGTTTATCTTACGGTTAATTTCCTTAGATACTATTGTTAACACAATATTATCTAAGAAAGTTAACCGTAAGATAAACTTAACCAACGATTGAAAAACCGGCCCTTAGACTCACACAACTCTTGTCAAGACAAGAGTAAGTAACTCTTGTCTTGTCTTGTCTAGACGGCACCACTAATGATTTTCATATTAATTTTTTGTTAGGTTTTGGTTAGTTTTCCATTTGGAAATTTTAATGCTTAAATAAATATTTAAATAAAACATTTGTTGTAGCTAAAAAAATATTCGTGAAATATTCTTGACTTGCGATAAAATTTTCCCTGAAAAAATGTTTGATTTGTATTTACTCAAGATTTTTCCTTAGAAATTTTGCTTTATATACAAAAAGTTTATATACAAAAGTACTCTTTTAGTTCCACCCTTACTTCTTAAGAAGTTCCATAAGCCTGAATGGCTTGTGCGGGTTAGGGGTAGGAACGGACCGCGGGCTTAAAGTCCCCTCCGAAGGACTATTACACAATAGGACAAACACAAATAAACAGCCATACCCCTGGTGGGATTCGAACCCACGACCTCCGGCTTGTAGTCAGCAGCACTAACCACTCGTCCACCGTCGGCGATTTAAAAATTAATGCCACTTGCGAAATTTCCAAGAAAAAAACATTCGCATAAAAATCAAAAATTCTACCACTAGTGGTATTATATACGACAATAATATTATAATATATATAGAACCAATAAAATGTCAGTATTTTATTGTTACGCATTTTACCACAGCGACAATATTTTTTATCACCTTGTTTATAAGTTACTAAGGATATGGACACTTTACTTGATTTTACATTTGTTGACATTTAAATCATGTGTTTGGTAAATGAAATTAAGGCAAGTTTTTATATTTAAAAAAAACACATTTCATTTCAAATGGCAAACTAACAATTCGTTAAATCCTAAAATTCAATACATTTTCTCACCAAATATAACTACAACAAATACTTATTATTATCTAAAAATGATTTTGCGTTCATAATGACTTCATTATAACACCGCTTTCGGGACTGTAATGAGATACTTTATCCCACCCAAAATTTTGATTTCATAGGTTGGCTATACTTTTAACAGCATAATATTTTGCATATTGGTAATAATATTTTTATGATTTTTCTAGTACTTACTTGACTTTTATGGCAATAAATTTTGTTTAACACCAAAGAAAATCATTTTTTTCTTCTCTAACAGCCGCTTATTGTAAATAAGTAAATTAAGGACGGCATGGCGAATCGATTTTGACATTAACTGTCAAACCAATGACTGTGATACCAAGTATCTAAAGTAAAATTCAACCAAATTAAATTTAAAGTATAAAATTAATTTTTTTAAAGAATTTTTGCAAAATAGATAAAATAGCATAAAGAACTCATGTCATAAGACCTTTTGTCGCACTCGTCCATTACAAAACTCGCTCCTTCGTACTATTACATTTTAAAGCACATTTAAATGTCAAACTAACTATTCGTAAAATCCTAAAATTCAATATATTTTCTCACTAAATATAACTTGTGGTATGATTAATATTCGATGGTAATCATACCACTTGTTATATATTGGTATAAATATTGGCGCTGAGAAACTATTTAATAGTTTTGTATGACATTTGACAACTGTCAGTAGTAGAAAAAACAATATTTTTAGTAAATAAACAATTTATTTGTAAAAAAAATAACCTAATTTTACTCAGGAATTTTGTTACTAAAATATGTAAACGCCCGCCATTTGTCTTATTTCTTCGAGTTTTGCTAGAATAAGCGGCCGAGGGTTAATTATGGCGTAACCGCGTAATATATTCCCTTCCGGAGCGTGTTGTTGGATTTATAGGGGGCAGGAAACAACATTAACGTTGAATTGTAAAGGTAGGCAGTGCGCCGCCGGATTGCTCTCGAAATATTGTGGTCACTAAGCTACGTAAAACCGCCAAAGGGATCCTAATTGCCTGTTCTGCTATAAATATAAAATATCAAAAGGCCTAAACCGACAAAAATTTTATATTGTTTGTTTTTGGATAGCATTTTTTACTTTTTATTCTGTATTCTTATTTTAAGATTACCAATCAAGATTTCTTATACTATAGTAGTTTGTAGGTTTAACATTTGGTGATCATGTTAATTGACCACTCTGGAGTTAAGTAGATATTACTCTCTAAAAATGAATTGGTCAAAAATAAATTTATTAGTTATTAGTGGCGGCTTTTTCACTTGTACCATGGTTAACCATGGTCCCTTGAATCCGAAAATGTCGTCAAAAATTAAAAAAATAGAACAGTTTTTGAAAAACTGCTCCAATTTCATAATTTTTTACGGTATTTTCGGATTCAGAAGACAATTTTACATAAGAATTGGCTATTAAATTTTAGAATACCATCATATTCCATGGTTCTTGGATATTAGAAAAAAATTATAGATAGACATTTTTTGTTTTTTGTGATTTAGGATTTCGTTAATTAAATGTTTATCATAGATGTTGTTAACTGATATTTGTTTAATAAAATTTAATTCGAAATTATAATCTATTCCTGATAATGGAACGTTTAAGAGTCTAAAGTGTAGAGTGTAAAAAGGGGTGAGAAGAACTTTTATGTATAACTATATCTACATATGTAGCTTGGTTCTTTTTTTGGATTGTTAGATCTAATTAAGGAATATAGTTATTTATTTCTTCTTCCATTGTGACTTTTATGGTTTTGTACCTGTGAAACAAGTTATGATATCGTCTATATATCGGTACCAATATAGGACAAATTAAATATATGGATGTTTGTGTATAATGATCTCTACCTAAGTAATTGGTTCACAAAAATATCCGCTTATAATGGGCTTAAAGGATTACTTATAATTAGGCCATTATGACTCATGTTTATTTTATTATTAAATTGGAAGTAATTTTGTTTTAAACATATTTGAATGTGTTTATGATGTCGCTTTTAATAACTGGGTTAGTATTGTTTAGGTATAGAAGATTTTGTATTATCTTAAGTGTTTTAATTGGTGGTACATTGAAAAATCAATTGAAAGAAATAAATTTGGCCTTATCAGGCAATGGGTTGAATTTAATATTATTAATTATTGGTAATTAAATTAATGATTTTTTGACGTTGCCGTATAGAAAGATACTACGGGTCTAATGGGTAAATTAGTACATAATTTAATCAAAGAATCCATTAACGATGGGCTAGAGTTCATTAAGGTTTGTAAATATCGGAATCACTGAAAATACTATAATGTGTCTGATTTTTTTGTCGGGTCTCTATTGTAAGGAAAGAATTAGTTTTTTCTAATTATTCATTTTTGTTGATCGCAATAACTGGTTGACGTTTATCTGCTCTCGTAAAAATTATATCTTGGCTTTTTGATCTAATTGCTTTAGCTGTAAAATGTTTTTTTCTACGACCACTATGTAAAAGTCACATTTTGTAATGGCATTTAACATAAATAAAATAATAAAACATTAAAACAGTGTTGTTTTTATTCATATATTAATATTATGATGTTTTATCAAAAGAGGTCGAAACAATCAACAAATTGTAAAGCTACCTTAATAAAAATATGATTTTCGAGTCTTGCAGGCGAAAACAAATTTTGGCTGTAAAACAGTGTAATTCTAAGGAATACTTAAACTAACGCGTAGTTTAGCGTGGAGTTGAGCCATAATATCCCAGGATTATTTTGACACCTCATCTGGCGTTTACACAGCTATTAGTATTTGAACATAGATACTGGACGATGCTCTAGTCCTAAACATAGGCTTAAAAGCCGTGTTGGTACGTTACATACACACATTAACGAGCTGCGATATACCATTTTAATGAAGTAATAGCAATGAGAGATGGTAAATTTGCCTGGTAACCGCAGAATTTACCTGGTAATTGTAGCTTGCGCTGCGCGAATGCACTTTGGGCTAAATTAAAGACGATAAATTTGCGCTTGATATTAAATTTCGCCGCTGAAGATGGAACCTTAATACGTAAACAAGAGGAGGGTATTAAACGTGCACCTCGGCTAAGCCGTTAGAAGACTCGGCCACTAATTGCCCCGAGGCCGTTTTGTGGGCACGTACAAGCCCTCTGCTGGACCTAAAATCACCGCCTATACATACACTACCAACAAAAAGTGTAAATTGATTAGTGTATTTAGTTACTTAATGCCCTAGGGCATTAAATTGGAAAAATTGAGGTTATAACCGTCTGACAGATCATATTGGAAAAAAACTGCCGTTAAACTCCTCTGACAGGTTCATATTAGTAAAAAGCGAGGTTAACACCGCTTGACAGTTGTCAGGTGTCAGAATAAATGTCGAAAAAATTATTTTGCGTTCGTTGTAGATAAAGCACACGGAAAAAAGCTATTCTATATTAAAGATGAATCATCTCAGTCCAATTTCAATGTTAGGTACAAGGGTTAACCTATCCTTATTTCAAGAAAAACTATCATAATATTTTAAATGCAAGCACCCTCAAATAAAATATACACTATGCTTAATTTAAGAATAAGTATTTTTTGATACAAATGTTATAATTCTTGACGATACAATATTTACTTTTGAATTAAATATAAGGTACCTATCTTTATGTTAAAGCATAATTATTAATAAAATAACATGTTGTATGTAATACACCTCGTTATATCAATTTTTAGGTTAGATATATCTTTTTTCTTTAAAGTTATGTTATTAATAATTATGCTAGATTGTTTGAGTTATTTATTTTTCTCTAATCACCCGACTGTAGAAAAAACGTAATTACATGAAATTTTACTGATAAACAATTGAAAATCATCATTTAAACAAAGTTTGATACGAAAATCCTAAAAATTTCATAAATTGTCAATGTAAACGCTTTATATCTCAAGAAATATCAATCTTTACGATTCAACTGATAGGACCTTTTTTAAAAAAAAAATTAAATTTTCTACAAGTTTGTTCTTTACATTTTTTCAAAGAATCCAGTCACTTTTGAAATATCTTCAAAAATATGATAATTTTTCACTAAAATAGGATTTAGTGACCCGTACCATCCTACATGTGCAGATTACAGCTATGGCACATAAAGCATTTTTGTAGAACTTTTGATTACGAGTAAATCCTTTTTTGAAACAATCCAATAGCATAAAATGCGGCTGAGATATAGATATTTAAAAAAAAATAATCAAAGTTTACGTGTATTTTAAATGGGAAATCTTTATACGCTTTGGTCGAGTACTTTGAGTTAATATTAAGGGCTCAAATTTTCAGGGAATTTTTTTTTGAACATTTTCAACAAGATTTTGAGTTGGGAGCGAAAAAATAAAAATTGTCGTGAAAAAAAAATATATATCCTATATATATATAGAATATATTCTGCAATGATTTTTTCAAACTTTCAGACAAGTTGATTTTGTTTGCGAGATATTTTGGCTATATTGGCCTGTTTAAAATTTGTATTCGTACCTATAACCTAGAGTTAAAATATACATAATTGTTTTTTATGTGATTTTTCGTCCATTCAATACATAATACTACAAACATAAATACGTATAATTATGTAATTATTATTACCTCCACACACATTTGGTGTTTAATTCTATCAAATTCCACTAATTTAACAGCTCTTTCATAATTCCAAACCAAATATTAACTAACACAAGAAACAATCTTCCAAAATGTCGGACACTTTCGTGAGTGGGGAATATTTTTAAGATATAATATTTACTAATTCTACAGTAAATATAATTATATTTATATCCAGTATAGTTTTACATCTTTAAGAACAGAATAGAGGGAATTTTCCAAAATTTGATCTAATCAATTGTTATTCTTAAATTAAGAATAAGATTATTTCATTTAAAATCTTTCTTAACATTTAACAGGCAAGAATAAGATCTGCTTGTTTAAGAAAGGTAGTTTAATATTAGTTTTAGCCTTGACAATATTAGGTCAATCATCTTGTTTCAACTGTACTTTTTAATTTAAGGGTAGGTTAATATTTAAAAAAAAATTTAATTTATTCGTATTCGTAACCTACCCTTAAATTAAAAAGTACAGTTGGCTATAGCCTAAGCAAATTATACTTAAATCAAATAATTTTTTTTAAGAATAAAGGTATTCTTACATTTAGAAAACATTTTTTTTTTCGTATATGGTATGCGATTAGTTTCATAAACTTCTCAGGCTCGTGCATAATTAAACGTTTGACTTTTATAAGACTGGTTACAAAATAGGAGATTTTAAAATTGCGATTTTTATTTACTTGGGATGTCGATGCTTTCTTCACACCTAGACGCGTATATTGAAATCAATATAAGCTTATATTGCAACATCACGTAGCAGTCATATTTTATTTTTCTAACGCGCCATGACACCCTATCTATATTAAAAATGTTGCTAAGAAGACTATAAGTTTTTCAGACGTATACACAGGAGGTGTATTGAATGTTTTTTCTTATTTTAGATCTCAATTTTATATCTTTTTTTATATTTTCCTATATAAGCTTATAATTGATTACTTCCTTCACAAAATCACAAATAAACACGATTAACTGAAACACCAAGAAGCTTCGACTTCTTTCATGCAAAATACTTTAATTTACTCAAAACGTTGAACATACAAAAATAGGATTACAAGTTTGCAACTATTTTTAGTTCTAAATGTTTAGAGAGAACAGTTACTGAGTAGAGATGTGTGTCGAATTGCCTGCGGAAGAAATGTTATGTATAAAGTTGAGCGGCATCTCTGAAAAAGTAAAATACAGGACGGCCGTTTGTAAACTTGTAGTCATTTGTGAACATAGCCTAAGGTTGTGGACAGTTTATAGTGCTCCTTCTCATGAATATAGATAGATTGGGCTTTGAAAACTTCCACTTTTGTTTGATGAAGACCTATTTCAAATTACAAATATTTCCTTTGAATATTAATGTAAGGTTTAATTTATATTTCTCTATTTTATAATAAAATATTATATTATTTAAGTTAAGTAAATCACATACAAATCTATTTTGATAATCCCCCAGTACCGTACCTTATTAGCTCTGTTCAAAAAAACAATTGGTATAATTCTTTACCTACATGTCTCAAAAGTACATATATAAACTACCTTCATGAATTTTAAACCATATCAACTCGATCAAGCAATCCATTAACATTATCGAAATGGCATACCCTTACTATCAATCCTATGAAGCGATCGATTTACAAAACATGTCGACACAAGAAAATACTACCCACACTGCAGAACAATACGTGCCTAATTCTTCTGAACCCTGGACAAATTATGGTTATTATAACTTCCACACAAACTTGGTCTACGATGATAAGAAGCAGTTACCACTTGGTAATAATCAGTACCACCAGAAGCAAGATGGCAAAACGAAAACCCATCCTGTTTTGCCAAGGACTACAGCAGATTTTTCGGCTACAAACTCCTTACCACCATCTTTAGGAACAGAGGGGTATTTTAAAAATGCAACCCAGGTGAATTTCTTCAACCAATTTTATAATGCGTACTACAATATGCATTTCGTCCCACCACAGCAACAGAGACCTAAGAATATAGAGTTACTTGGAAAGCCTATTCAATACATTCAAGTCGCCAAAGAACAAAAAGAATCACTTGTACCTGAGTGCCCAAGTGCCACTGTTACAGCAGACGACGAGACGAAGCTCAAATGCACATTTTGTGACAGGGTCTTCAAAAAAGCCTTCTACTTACTGCAACACACCAATGCTCAGCACGGCGAGAAAAAACAATACATGTGCATGAAATGTGGACGAAATTTTTTATCGCAGGAACACCTCGATGCTCATACGGAGGAAAATGGCACCGATGAACTACACAAAGACAGAATTAGTTCAGCCACCGTTAAGGCACAAGATGAAAAGCTGAAGTTCAAATGCACATTTTGTGACCGGGTGTTTACGCAAGTCTGCTACCTAATGCAACACACCAATGCTCAGCACGGCGAACAAAAACAATTCAAGTGCATGAAATGCGGACAGAATTTCGCATCGCAGGAGCTCCTTGATGTCCATAAGGAGAGACATAGCGCCGATAAACCACATAAATGCAGAGTTTGCCCGAAGCAGTACCATTATAGGTGTGACTTGAAAAAGCATATGTTAGTTCATAGCAAGAAGCCCAATCCCTTGGTTTGCACGACTTGTGGTAGGCAATTTTTGAGAAAGGATCGTTTCAAGCACCACCGCTTGAGCCACGAGAAGAAAGCTGCCATGTATGATAAGACAAGAAACCTTAAATAATACTAAATATATGTAAAATACTGTAAATAAATTACTTCAATTTTAACATGGTGTCAATTAATATTTATGAATTTATACTACTTGCCCTCCAAGTTTTTATCAACCCAACAGCAACTGTAAATGCAATCTTGAGTTTAATTAATTTTTTTTGTTAAAAAATTGACAAACTAAAGCGACTTTCAAAATTTGTCAAAACAAAACAACATTAGCAAACTCGTGAACAGATCCTGATCCAGGCACGACACGACATTCTCTAAATACGTTCCCTATTCTTTTTTAACATTTAACATTTTCTTAAAATTTTTGGTTGGAAATAAATATAATCATATCCCACCAAAATTGTATTTTAATAATCCCCTAGATTCAGAATAGTATATTCTGTAACAAGTTTGGAATACGGCACACGCGCTGAAGTTTGACGGTTCCACGAGAGGGGAATATGCAATTCCAAACGTGTTTCAGACTATATTTTTTCTACGTTTCCAAAAAATACAATATACAAATAATTTAATTGGAAGAAAGTCAGGTTGGATCGGTCTAAAATTTGTTATATATTAAAAACAGAGATGTCGCCACGAGTGTTTATTCTGTCATCAGATGATATAATATTTCATGCTGTAACACTTTACGGAATATATGTCAACAAATTAGAACGGTCATATTCCATAATAGGAGTAGAAAAAACAAATTACCTAACCGTTTAAGTATAACTGTCTTATCACTGCAACTGTAAATATATTATATAAAAAAAAAGAAATCAAGAATGTATACATTCTTGATTTCTTTTTTTTTTAATTGACGGTCCAAGGCGACTATTCAAAATTTGTCAAAACAAGACAATATTACCAAACTAAAGAACAAATTCTGATTCACATTATCAGGCACGACACGACATTCTTTAAGTACGTTCTCTATTCTCTATCTATTCTCTATCTATAACTTCGATGATAAAAAACCACTTGGTAATATTTAATAATACCCATCCTATTTTGACAACAGTTGAACCAATTAGTAGAGGATCCCAAGTAAGGTCGACCTTCACCCATCTGCTTACCAGATGAAAATTATATTTTATCAAATAAAATATGTTTCTGAACATAAACCAATAGGGTTGCCATAAAAAATATGATCAAGGCTAGCTATAATAAATAAAAAATTTAAAAAAAATAATTAATTTTTTAAATTTCACCGACTTGCTTGCCAAATGAACGAAATTCCAATGGAAAGCATACAACATACAGAATATGTAACAGCTAGGTTGCCTACCTTTTTCTGGTCCCTATTACCTGGTTGCTTTGTACAGGGTGATCCCCTATAATGTCGCCCCCCTTTAACTTTTTTATTTTAAGTGTCCCAAAAAATTTAAAAGTTTGGTTATGTAGGTACTAAAAAATACTTTTTTTCTACGTATAAAGAAAATTGGAAAATTGATCAGTATACAGGGAAAAACAAAAAGTTTATTTTTTTTTCAATGGATCACCGTATATATGAATTTATTTTTCGATTCCTTGTAAAATTCTGAGCATAATTTATATAACAAACCATATACCTAAATTCAACCGTTTCTGAAATATTCGCATTCGAAATGTCATCATTAAATGTTTTTTTAAACTGTTAGAAATCAAGAAGCCTCAGTATACCAAAATTTTTATTGAAAATAAATTACTATAGTGACATTATGTCAATAAGTGTTGTTAAATAAGTAAAAATGGCGTACTCAGACAGAGAAAGACAAACTATTTCAACTTATTATCTTAAAAATAATTTAAATATTTCAGAAACGGTTGAATTTAGGTATATGGTATGATATATGAAATATGCTTAGAATTTTACAAGGAATCGAAAAATAAATTCATATATAGGGTGATCCATTGAAAAAAATAAACTTTTTGTTTTTCCCTGTATACTGATCAATTTTCCAATTTTCTTTATACGTAGAAAAAAAGTATTTTTTAGTTCCTACATAACCACACTTTTAAATTTTTTGGGACACTTAAAATAAAAAAGTTAAAGGGGGGCGACATTATAGGGGATCACCCTGTACAAAGCAACCAGGTAATAGGGACCAGAAAAAGGTAGGCAACCTAGCTGTTACATATTCTGTATGTTGTATGCTTTCCATTGGAATTTCGTTCATTTGGCAAGCAAGTCGGTGAAATTTAAAAAATTAATTATTTTTTTTTAATTTTTTATTTATTATAGCTAGCCTTGATCATATTTTTTATGGCAACCCTATTGGTTTATGTTCAGAAACATATTTTATTTGATAAAATATAATTTTCATCTGGTAAGCAGATGGGTGAAGGTCGACCTTACTTGGGATCTTAGACTAAATGTATATTATATATATAATAATAATAACAAATTTTTTATTCTATTTCAGAATTATGTAATAAATCTGTGACATTATTATTTTTAAATGTATTTATTTTTGACATGTCTAAAAATTCCAACGTATTTAAAACACCAATAAATTATTGTCATATGTAAATTTTAATGTTTTCCATTTTATATTTTTTTAATTTAAAACGTATTCAACCATATTTAAATTTTGATAATCCCTTGGATTAAAATAACCAGATAAATATTATTACTTATGCTCAAATAAACAAATTACCTGAACTTATAGTATAACTTTTATACCTACATGTTTTGCCACTGCATATAAAAACTAACTTTATAAAAATGAAAGTCAAATCAACTTGAACATATACCAACATTATCAAAATGGCATACCCTTACTATCAACGCAACGAAGCGATCAACTTACAAAACATAATGAAACAAGAAAATATTACCACCACAGAACAATACGTTTCTAATTCTTCTGAATCCTGGACAAATTATGGTGATTATAACTTCTACGCAAACTTGGTCTACGATGATAAGAAGCAATTGTCACACGGTGATAATCAGTACCACAACCAAAATTATTTAACAGGAAACCAATTTTATAACGCGTACTTTCCTAATATGCATTACTTTCCACCACACCAACAGAACCAATATTTACCCAACAATCGATGCAATCAAGTCGCCAAGGAACCCGAAGAACCACTTGTACCAAAGCCAGTACTGTCTTACGTCGAACGTGCCACCGCTAAAGCGCAAGAAGAAAAACCAAAGCACAAATGCACATTTTGTGACCGGGTTTTCACGAAAGTTTGCTACTTAACCCAACACACAAATGCTCATCACGACGCCAACAGAAACTACAAGTGCATGAAATGCGGAAAGAAGTTCGCATCGCAGGAAATCCTTAATGCGCATTCGGAGAAGCATAGCGGCGATAAACCACATAAATGCAAAATTTGCCCAAAGCAGTACATATTTAAGGCTGACTTGATAAGTCATATGTTCGTGCATAATAAGAAAAACTATCCTTTTATTTGCACGTCTTGTGGTAAGGGATTTTCGAAGAAGCATCAATTCAAGAACCACTGCTTGAGCCACGAGAGGATAGCTGCCCTGTATGATGAGATGAGAATCCATAATTAATTATAAGGAATATTGTGTAAATAATGTAAATACTATGACTATAGAATATTAAATACATTTTTATTAATAATTTTTAATAATTCTATCCAACCAAAATAATATTTTGATAATCCCCCAGATTAAGATTTATTCATATTTTTCATATATATTCCGCTATAGTAAAATCAGTGTTTATTTTGTCATACGGTGATACACAGTAAAAAAATATGTGTTAATTTTAACAAAACATTTTGTAGATTTAATAACAAAATCCTATGTCTTGTAACTTTTAAAAAGGACCTTTTGCAAACCTTTTGTAGACCCAATAACAAAAGCATTTGCTGGAAATTGGGAACTTAAATGAAAAGAATTTTGATAAGAAATGTTGCTTTATAAATCAATTTCCTAAACAAAAAAATTAACACATACCTACATAAATGAACACAAAAATAACATACACACAATTAAATAACACACCATTCTGAAATCATCAAATTATAAAGAAATTTGGTAAAATATAATTATCAGTATTACTAAAGTTACTTACTTTACTGTATCACGTAATTTCAGTTTAAAAACCAGTGATGGCATCTTTTTTCGGATACTTCGCACACTCGTTAAATAGGTATAAGGCATCTGAATAACAATATTAACAGATTTTTGTTAAAATATTATAAACACTCTGGATAGTTGTTACGAACACGTTACGAATTAGAATAAAGTAAGCAAAAACATAAGTTGCAGACGCTGATGTCAGTTGAACTTGTTGATGCGTATTGTCAGTTGCAAATGTTTTTTATTGACTGCCTGAAATCACGTGTACTTTTTCAACTCAATAATTTATTAAACATTAACAAAATATTCTGTAACCTTTGAAATTAACAAAATGCTTCCAAACTTGCATATTACCTTTACAAAACTTTCGGTAATTCCACATTAAAGATATATTCGGCCATATTCCGTAATAGAAGTGGAAAAACAAATTACCTTATAGTATAGTAAAACCTACATATTCTGCAACTGCATATAAAAAGTTTTAAATTTAATTTACAGTTTGCGTAAAAATTTGGAAGATTTACCAATTTACATATATATTGATTGAACGATTAGACAACCGACCATTCTGTTTGCCGGTAGGTGACCGTAAATATTTAATAATTATTAGTAAATGTCTTTGTCTCACGTCTCTTTGCCTGTGCCAACAGCAACAGTTAATTTTGTTACCAAACAATACAAAGTCACTTGGTAAACCTCTTCAATACAATTAAGTCTACAATAAACCCTCCAATGTTACAATAATTTATAAATTTTAATGGTTTACAAATGTATAACCAAACCTTTAAACGTTTAAATATTTTTTTTATTTGAGAAGTATCCACCCCAAATTGAATTTGAATAATCCCCTAGATTAAAATAAACTGGTAAACATTTTGACCTGTTTAAATAAAAAAATTACCTATATATTATAACTTTTATACCTACATGTTTTTCCACTGCATATAAAAACTAACTTTATTGATATAAAAGTTAAATCAACTAAAACAAGCATACACCAAAATTATCAAAATGGCATACCATTACTATCAATCCTATGAAGCGATCGATTTACGAATAATGTCGAAACAAGAACATAATTCCAACACTACAGAACAATACGTTCCTAATTCTTCTGAACCCTGGACAAATAATGGTGATTATAACTTCTACAAAAACTACCATGACAAGAATCAGTACCACCACAACCAGAAGCAATATGGCAAAACGAATACCCATCCTATTTTGCCAAAGATTGAAGCAGATGTATACGATTTTCCGACTTTAAACGCCTTACCAGCAGCATCAAAAACTGAAAGCAATTTCAACAATGTAACCCCGGTGAACCTTACTAAACGGTACGAGCCGTTCTATTTTATGGAAAACCAATTTTATAATGCTTACTTTTCCAATATGCATTATATTCCACATTACTTTCCACCACACCAACAAAACCATCACTCATCCAACAATATAGAGTTACTTGGAAAGCCTTTTCAATACATTCAAGTCGCCAATGAACCTGAGGAATCGACGAAGCACAAATGCCAGTTTTGTGAACGAGTATTCACAGAAATCTGTTACTTAATCCAACACACCAATGCTAAGCACAACGACCAAAATCAATTCAAGTGCATGAAATGCGGAAAGAAGTTTGCAGAGCAGGAAATCCTTGATGCTCATACGAAGAGACATAGCGGCGATAAACCACATAAATGCAGAATTTGTCCAAAGCAGTACAATTTTAGAGCTGACCTGAAAAGACATATGCTCTTGCATAATAAGAAAGCCGATCCTTATACTTGCACCACTTGTGGTAAGGGATTTTCGAGGAGGGATCAATTCAAGACTCACTGCTTGAGCCATGAGAGGAAAGCTGCCTTGCATAATAAGAAAAACTATCCTTTTATTTGCACGACTTGTGGTAAGGGATTTTCAAGGAAGAATCAATTCAAGAATCATTGCTTAAGCCACGAGAGGAAAGCTGCCTTGTATGATATGAAAAGAAGCCTTCATGAATAATAAAAATTAGTATAAAAAGTGTAAATATTGTAAATAAATGACTGAGATAAAGTAAACGTCTTTAATATGTTACAGCTTACACAGATATTCAAAATATACATTAATCCCTAGTTATACAATTCATCTATTTTAGCTTCTCAATAAAATGCAATCCCGCGTCGCCGAGATGAACGAAAATATGTAAATACCTTCCGTGCCATTATTAGGTAATCATGTCTTTCCGTACGCGTTAATTCATATAATCCCGAAGGAATACATTAAACTGTCCACAGTCGCTCTAAGCCTTAAAGTCAACTCGAACAACGGTGGTTCGCTTCTGACGGTCTTTACTGTAATTGGATGCCTTCTGGCGATGCAAAGGTTTCAATAGTTTTAAATTTATACTATTATGTACACCAAAAAGTGCGTGATTATTATATAATTTAAACATATCTTAATATTATTTTAAATGAACTTTATTAAATAAAATATGTTCCATTTTAACCGGGATAAATGGTAATCTGATGAGTAGAATACAATTTTTTTTAATCGGATGTTTGATATCACTACTGAACTTACCAGTGGCGGCTCGTGGGTGCATAAAATGGATAAATATATATATATATATATATATATATATATATATACATAAATACAAATAAAATATCTGTCTTTTTTTCATTTTCGTTTCTACTTAAAAAAGGCTTTTTAATTATTAAGAAAATAATGTCATGAACAGGTTTCATTTAAAAAAAACAGAAAACTTACGGGTATTTTGAAAACCTAACCCTAATTGAAACTTAATACGACTTGTTGCTTATTATAAACTGCTCATTCTACTTTTGTAGCGTGTATGTACCCCCGTGCACCACAATAATAAAATAATGAAGTTTACTAATCGAGACAAAAACTAAAAAAGATTAGACAACAGTTTTAAATAATTTAATCAGAATCAAAACACCCGCTCTACAACTCTGCAACACAAACTGCCACCCACCACTTTAGTCATGTGATATAAAACCACAAATTAGAGCAAGACAAGACAAACATTATTTAATTAAATCTAATGGACAACCAACCAATCCCTTTATCGGTAGGTGACTGTAAATATTTCAAAGGTTACAGATTATTTTGTTAATGTTTAACAAATTATTTCGTTGAAAAAGTACACGTGATTTCAGGCAGCCAATCAAAACATCTCCAACACACTTATCAACAAGTTGTGTCAGCGTCAACGGGTGTTTATAATATTTAACGGTGACAGGAGTGTTTATAATGTCATGATTTTCAAATTAAAATTAAGCGATCTAGTAAAGTTAAAGTAAATCAGTAAGTGTTTTAGTAGTACTGATAGTTTTATTGTACCAAATTTCTATATAATCTGATGATTTCAGAATGGTGTGTTATTTAATTTTGTTATTGTTATTTTTGTGTTCCTTTATGTCGGTATGTGTTAATTATGTTTTATTTAGAAAATTGTTTAAAAAGTTCGCTAATGAACCACAGCAACTACGTACCACCACCGAAGCCCAACGGAACCAATTTCCTCCAAACAATACAGAGTTACTTGGAAAGAAGTTTCAATACAATCAAGTCGCTAATGAACCCGAGGAATCACTTGTACCAAAGCAACTACGTACCACCACGGAAGCCCAAGAAGAAGAACCAAAGCACAACTGCACATTTTGTGACCGAGTATTCACAAAAGCCTGCTACCTAATACAACACACCAATGCTCACCACAACGACCGAATACAGTTCAAGTGCACGAAATGCGGAAAGAAGTTCCCATCGCAGGAAATCCTTAATGCTCATACGAAGAAGCAGTGCCGGTTTAAGTTAGTTCGCCGCCCGGTTCTGGCAAAAACACAACGCCCAATGCTTTAAAATATTACTTTTTTAAAAACATTTTTAAATTTTTAAGTCTTACTTTCTCACGTCAAGTGGAAGATTAGGTTGGTTTGGCTGGTATCTAACAGTAAACTTAGTATCCTATAAAATATATAAAAACTAATCAAAAGCACTAACTAAAAAATAAAACATTCTTTGGTTTATATAAACAATACTAAGTACTAAGAAAAACTAATCAAAAGTTATAAATAAATAAAACATTATTCGTTTTTTAAATAAATATTGAGAAATCCTAATACTAATAATTAAAAGGTTGTTTTCAAGTCTTTATAGTAGCAAATTGTTTTATAACACTTTACATTTATTTCATCTAGCAGGTCTTGATAAATGGACAGAATTGCCAAGGAGTTAAATCTTTCTTGGGGAATTGTATTTCTTAGGTAGTTCTTTACCCTTTTTAGAGCAGAAAAAGATCGTTCACCACTTGCATTTGAAACCATTATAAAAAAAAATTCGCAGACAATTATAAATATTCAGAAATGAAGATATTAATTTATTTTCGTATAAAACTTATACTAATTCCAATGGAGTTTCTATTTTTATTTCCGAAAGGGAAGTTACCAGTTTCTTGAGTTGGACACATTTTTGAGGAGAAAGGACGAAGATTTATGCTTTTAGATTAAACAAAAATTCAAATTTGTTTGTGCCAGATTTCTAGCTATCATATCGACAAATGATTTCGGATTATAGATTGTCAATTATTAAAATTAAAAAAACTTGACTCTGAATTATTTTCTTCAAATTGTAATTTTCTTATGATTATCCGCTTCTGAGCATAATTTTCGTTTCCTGTTAATTTCCTCGTAATGATCAAAATGTTATCACGTAAAAAATCAAAGTTCTCAACTAAAAATGACAAAAGATGAGCATTTGTGCTTAAATCCATATTTTGTTTTTGGACTGCTTTATTGGTTTCATTAACCCTTTGCAAAACGTCTATCCAAAAAGTTCAAATTATTCCGTTTCCAATAAATCAAGTTTTTCTGATGAAGGAGCTTCTTTGGCTCTATAGAGGATTTAAGCACAAATGCTCATCTTTTGTCATTTTTAGTTGAGAACTTTGATTTTTTACGTGATATCATTTACATTACATTACATTTTTCTCATTTGTAATCGTTGTATCCGCCGACGCAGTGTCGCAATAATTTTTTTTCTAAATTCTAACGATTAAGTATTTTTTTTTTAAATTATGGGCGGTATGCGGTACCGCCCCAAAAATATTTACCGCCCGGTGCTATAGTCCCCAAAAAACCCCTGTTAAACCGGCACTGCGAAGAAGCACATCGGCGATAAACCATATAAATGCAGCATTTGCCCAAAGCAGTATAATTTTAATGCTGACTTAAAAAGACATATGTTTGTGCACACTAAGAAGACCAATTCTTATACTTGCACCACTTGTAGCAAAAGATTTTCAAGGAAGGATCATTTAAGGAATCACTGCTTGAGTCATGAGAGGAAAGCTGCCTTAAAGAGATTCATTTATGGACCATAAGAAATAAAAAAAGTGTAAATTTGTAAATAATAATATAAATATATTTTCTAATATCTAGTATTTTTTTTTATTTATCGGATACTGCAAAGACCTTACACAAGCCTCCTTTGGACAAGTATGGGTTCATTAAAGAGAACATTAGTAGAAGAGATGAAGTAACATTAAGAAACTCGACTTGGGCAAAAACTTAAATGAAAAGATTTTGTTGCCTTATTTCTTAAACAAAATTTAACACCTAGCTACATAAATGAACACAAAAATAACATACAAGCAATTAAATAACACCCCATTTAATATAATTATCAGTACTAGCGGTGAAAAGACTTGAAAAGACATATGTTGCACAATAACTAACTAATACTAAATATATGTAAAATAGTGTAAATTAATATTTATGATTTTTAAAATACTAATATTTGATTTAAGTTTTTAACATTTTGGTTGGAAATGATTATAATTATAACCTACCAAAATTGTATTAATTAATTACCTAAACGTAAATTATAACTGTCTTATCAAGGCAACTGTAAATAAAATCTTATATTTAATTAATTTTTTTGTTAAAAAATTGACAGACTAAAGCAACTTTTCAAAATTTGTAAAAACAAGACAATATTAACAAACTAGTGAACAAATCCTGATTTACATTATCAGGCACGACACGACATTCCCTATTTTTTAAAACCCTGCTGGGTCCATGGGCAAATAACGGTGACCTCGGAACCAAACGCAATTTCAACAATATTTACCCAACAATATAAAGTCACTTGGTAAACCTTTTTAATACAATCAAGTCTCCTGTGAACCCGCCAATAATTTAATCTAAATTTTAATGGTTTGCATTTTATATTTAAAATGCCAATTTAAATTTTGATAATCCCCTGGATTAAAATAACCAGATAAATATTATTACTTATGCTCAAATAAACAAATTACCTGAACATATAGTATAACTTTTATACCTACATGTTTTGCCACTGCATATAAAACTGCATTACTTTCCGCATTACCTTCCACCATACCAGCAGAACCAATATCCTCCCAACAATACAGAGTTCCTTGAAAAGACCTTTCAATACAATCAAGTCGCTAATGATCCCAAGGAATCACTTGTACCAAAGCAACTACGTACCACCACCGAAGCCCAATACAATCAAGTCGCTAATGATCCCAAGGAATCACTTGTACCAAAGCAACTACGTACCACCACGGAAGCCCAAGAAGAAAAACCAAAGCACAACTGCACATTTTGTGACCGAGTATTCACAAAAGCCTGCTACCTAAGACAACACACCAATGCTCACCACAACGACCGAAGACAGTTCAAGTGCACGAAATGCGGAAAGAAGTTCCCATCGCAGGAAATCCTTAATGCTCATACGAAGAAGCATATCGGCGATAAACCATATAAATGCACAATTTGCCCAAAGCAGTATAATTTTAATGCTGACTTAAAAAGACATATGTGTGTGCATACTAAGAAGACCAATCCTTATACTTGCACCACTTGTGGCAAAAGATTTTCAAGGAAAGATCATTTAAGGAATCACTGCTTGAGTCATGAGAGGAAAGCTGCCTTGAAGAGATTTATTTATGGACCATAAGAAATATTAGATAAAAAGTGAACATATTGTAAATAATAATATAAATATATTTTATAAGATCTAGTATTTTTTTTATTTTTCGGATACTGCAAAGACCTTACACAACATAACATAAAATTAACAAACTAGGAACTCATGTTATATGATTTTTATTGTAATTAAAAATTTGCCCAAAGCAGTACAATTTTGAAAAAGAAAATCTATTCTTTTATTTGCACGATATAATTATCAGTACAAGCGGTGATCAACCACATAAATGAGGAATTTGTTCAAAGCACTACAATTTTAGAGCTGACTTGAAAAGACATGTTCATGCACAATAAAAAAGCCAATCCTTATACTCGCACCACTTGTGGTAAAGGATTTTATAGGAAGGATCATTTCAAGAATCACTGCCTAAACCATGAGAGGAAAGCTGCCTTGTATGATAAGAGAAGCCTTAACCAATACTAAATATATGTAAAATAGTGTAAATTAATATTTACGATTTAATACTAATATTTGATTTAAGTTTTTAACATTTTGGTGATTATAATCATAACCTACCAAAATTGTTTTAATTAATTACCTAAACGTAAATTATAACTGTCTTATGAATGCAACTGTAAATAAAATCTTATGTTTAATTAATTTTTTTGTTAAAAAATTGACAGACTAAAGCGACTTTTCAAAATTTGTCAAAACAAGACAATATTAACAAACTAGTGAACAAATCCTGATTTACATTATCAGGCATGACACGACATTCTTTAAGGACGTTCTCTATTTTTTAAAACCCAGCTGAGTCCATGGGCAAATAACGGTGATTTGAGATCACAACTTCCTCACAAACTTGGTCTACGATGATAAGAAGCAAATTCAATAATACCCATCCTATTTTAAAAACAATTGAAGCAATGTATATTATACATATATATTAATAATAATTATTTCCACACGCGTTACCAGTGGATCCATTAATTTAAAATCAAATTATCTTCGGCTAGAAGCAAGCAGAAATGCTGATAACTACTATGGTCCATTATCCTTTAATAAGTTAGGTTAAGATCCTCGAATGTTGCCCTTAAAACTCTTTAAACAAAAGTTAAAAGAAAGATGATTGTATAAAGCTTTTTTTCTATTCCAGAATTATGTAACGCATCTGTGACATTATTAGTTTTAAATGTATTTATTTTTGACGTGTCTAAAAATTCCAACGTACTATTACAAACTCCTTTCCACCAACCTCGGAACCAAACGCAATTTCAACAATATTTACCCAACAATATAAAGTCACTTGGTAAACCTTTTTGAACCCGCCAATAATTTGTCATGACTACCCATTTTAATCTAAATTTTAATGGTTTGCATTTTATATTTTTTGAATTTAAAACGTATTCAACCCAATTTAAATTTTGATAATCCCCTGGATTAAAATAACCAGATAAATATTATTACTTATGCTCAAATAAACAAATTACCTGAACATATAGTATAACTTTTATACCTACATGTTTTGCCACTGCATATAAAAACTAACTTTATGAAAATAAAAGCCAAATCAACTTGAACATACACCAACATTATCAAAATGGCATACTCTTACTCTCAATGCAACGAAGCGATCAATTTACAAAACATAATGAAACAAGAAAATAATACCACCACAGAACAATACGTTCCTAATTCTTCTGAATCCTGGTCAAATTATGGTGATTATAACTTCTACACAAACTTGGTCTACGATGATAAGAAGCAATTATCACACGGTGATAATCACTACCACAACAACCAGAACTATTTAACAGGAAACCAATTTTATAACGCGTTCTTTCCCAATATTCATTACTTTCCACCACACCAACAGAACCAAAATTTACCCAACAATCGATGCAATCAAGTCGCCGAGGAACCACTTGTACCAAAGCGTGCCACCGCTAAAGCGCAAGAAGAAAAACCAAAGCATAAATGCACATTTTGTGACCGAGTTTTCACGAAAGTCTGCTACTTAAAACAACACACAAATGCTCATCACGATGCCAAAAAAAAATACAGGTGCATGAAATGCGGAAAGAAGTTCGCATCGCAGGAAATCCTTGATGCGCATTCGAAAAAGCATAGCGGCGATAAACCACATAAATGCCAAATTTGCCCAAGGCAGTACATATTTAAGACTGACTTGAAAAGTCATATGTTCGTGCATAATAAGAAAAACTATCCTTTTATTTGCACGACTTGTGGTAAGGGATTTTTGAAGAAGCATCAATTCAAGAACCACTGCTTGAGTCACGAGAGGATAGCTGCCCTGTATGATGAGATGAGAATCCATAATTAATTATAAGGAATATTGTGTAAATAATGTAAATACTATGACTATAGAATATTAAATACATTTTTATTAATAATTTTTAATAATTCTATCCAACCAAAATAATATTTTGATAATCCCCCAGATTAAGATTTTTTCAAACTCTTCTGTAACAAGTTTCGAATACGGCATATTCCGCTATGGTAAAATCAGTGTTTATTGTGTCATCCGGGGATACACAGTAAAAAAATATGTCTTAATTTTAACCAAACATTTTGTAGATTTAATAACAAAATCCCATGTCTTGTAACTTTTAAAAAGACCTTATTTTTGCAAACCTTTTGTAGACCCGATAACAAGAGCATTTGCTGGAAATTGGAAACTTAAATGAAAAGAATTTTGATAAGAAACGTTGCTTTATGAATCAATTTCCTAAACAAAAAAATTAACACATACCTACATAAATTAACACAAAAATATCATACACACAATTAAATAACACACCATTCTAAAATCATCAAATTATAAAGAAATTTGGTAAAATATAATTATCAGTATTACTAAAGTTACTTACTTTACTGTATCACGTAATTTCAGTTTAAAAACCAGTGATGGCATCTTTTTTCGGATACTTCGCACACTCGTTAAATAGGTATAAGGCATCTGAATAACAATATTAACAGATTTTTGTTAAAATATTATAAACACTCTGGATAGTTGTTACGAACACGTTACGAATTAGAATAAAGTAAGCAAAAACATAAGTTGCAGACGCTGATGTCAGTTGAACTTGTTGATGCGTATTGTCAGTTGCAAATGTTTTTTATTGACTGCCTGAAATCACGTGTACTTTTTCAACTCAATAATTTATTAAACATTAACAAAATATTCTGTAACCTTTGAAATTAACAAAATGCTTCCAAACTTGCATATTACCTTTAAATAACTTTCGGTAATTCCACATTAAAGTTATATTAAAACGGCCATATTCCGTAATAGAAGTAACAAGTAATATTAACAAAATATTCTGTAACCTTTGAAATTAACAAAATGCTTCTAATATGCAAGATATTACCTTTACAAAACTTTCGGTAATTCCACATTAAACCACCAAAATTATCAAAATCATTACTACCAATCCTATGAAGCGATCGATTTACGAATAATGTCGAAACAAGAACATAATTCCAACACTACAAAACAATACGTTCCTAATTCTTCTGAACCCTGGACAAATAATGGTGACTATAACTTCTACACAAACTACGATGATAAGAATCAATACCACCACAACCAGAAGCAAGATGGCAAAACGAATACCCATCCTATTTTGCCAAAGATTGAAGCAGATGTATACGATTTTCCGACTTTAAACGCCTTACCAGGAGCATCAAAAACTGAAAGCAATTTCAACAATGTAACCCCGGTGAACCTTATTAAACGGTACGAGCCGTTCTATTTTATGGGAAACCAATTTTATAATGCTTACTTTTCCAATATGCATTATATTCCACATTACTTTCCACCACACCAACAAAATCATCACTCATCCAACAATACAGAGTTACTTGGAAAGCCTTTTCAATACAAACAAGTCGCCAATGAACCTGAGAAATCGACGAAGCACAAATGCCCATTTTGTGAACGAGTATTCACAGAAATCTGTTACTTAATCCAACACACCAATGCTAAGCACAACGACCAAAATCAATTCAGGTGCATGAAATGCGGAAAGAAGTTTGCAGAGCAGGAAATCCTTGATGCTCATATGAAGAGACATAGCGGCGATAAACCACATAAATGCAGAATTTGTCCAAAGCAGTACAATTTTAGAGCTGACCTGAAAAGACATATGCTCTTGCATAATAAGAAAGCGCATCCTTATACTTGCACCACTTGTGGTAAGGGATTTTCGAGGAGGGATCAATTCAAGACTCACTGCTTGAGCCATGAGAGGAAAGCTGCCTTGCATAATAAGAAAAGCTATCCTTTTATTTGCACGACTTGTGGTAAGGGATTTTCAAGGAAGAATCAATTCAAGAATCATTGCTTAAGCCACGAGAGGAAAGCTGCCTTGTATGATATGAAAAGAAGCCTTCATGAATAATAAAAATTAGTATAAAAAGTGTAAATATTGTAAATAAATGACTGAGATAAAGTAAACGTCTTTAATATGTTACAGCTTACACAGATATTCAAAATATACATTAATCCCTAGTTATACAATTCATCTATTTTGGCTTCTCAATAAAATGCAATCCCGCGTCGCCGAGATGAACGAAAATATGTAAATACCTTCCGTGCCATTATTAGGTAATCATGTCTTTCCGTACGCGTTAATTCATATAATCCCGAAGGAATACATTAAACTGTCCACAGTCGCTCTAAGCCTTAAAGTCAACTCGAACAACGGTGGTTCGCTTCTGACGGTCTTTACTGTAATTGGATGCCTTCTGGCGATGCAAAGGTTTCAATAGTTTTAAATTTATACTATTATTTACACCAAAAAGTGCGTGATTATTATATAATTTAAACATATCTTAATATTATTTTAAATGAACTTTATTAAATAAAATATGTTCCATTTTAACCGGGATAAATGGTAATCTGATGAGTAGAATACAATTTTTTTTAATCGGATGTTTGATATCACTACTGAACTTACCAGTGGCGGCTCGTGGGTGCATAAAATGGATAAATATATATATATATATATATACATAAATACAAATAAAATATCTGTCTTTTTTTCATTTTCGTTTCTTCTTAAAAAAGGCTTTTTAATTATTAAGAAAATAATGTCATGAACAGGTTTCATTTAAAAAAAACAGAAAACTTACGGGTATTTTGAAAACCTAACCCTAATTGAAACTTAATAGGACTTGTTGCTTATTATAAACTGCTCATTCTACTTTTGTAGCGTGTATGTACCCCCGTGCACCACAATAATAAAATAATGAAGTTTACTAATCGAGACAAAAACTAAAAAAGATTAGACAACAGTTTTAAATAATTTAATCAGAATCAAAACACCCGCTCTACAACTCTGCAACACAAACTGCCACCCACCACTTTAGTCATGTGATATAAAACCACAAATTAGAGCAAGACAAGACAAACATTATTTAATTAAATCTAATGGACAACCAACCAATCCCTTTATCGGTAGGTGACTGTAAATATTTCAAAGGTTACAGATTATTTTATTAATGTTTAACAAATTATTTCGTTGAAAAAGTACACGTGATTTCAGGCAGCCAATCAAAACATCTCCAACACACTTATCAACAAGTTGTGTCAGCGTCAACGGGTGTTTATAATATTTAACGGTAACAGGAGTGTTTATAATGTCATGGTTTTCAAATTAAAATTAAGCGATCTAGTGAAGTTAAAGTAAATCAGTAAGTGTTTTAGTAGTACTGATAGTTTTATTGTACCAAATTTCTATATAACCTGATGATTTCAGAATGGTGTGTTATTTAATTTTGTTATTGTTATTTTTGTGTTCCTTTATGTCGGTATGTGTTAATTATGTTTTATTTAGAAAATTGTTTAAAAAGCAATATTTCTTATAACAAATTCTCTTTTTTAAAGTTCCCAATTTACAACAAATACAAGAATTATGGTTGAAATTGACATCGAATTTTGTTATTAAATCTACAAAATATCTGTAATAATTACAAACTACTTATTCAATTAGTTAACAGATTACAGTTGTTGTAAACTTAACAAAAAGTTATGTGGACCTGGATTAACATAAAATCTGGTTATTATTTGGTTAATATTGACAAATATTTTTTTACTGTGTATAATATAAATTTGAATGGTTTACATTTTACCAAAAAACCCACGTCTGTTTAATTTTTTTTATTTAAGTTGTATCTAACCATAATTCAATTTTGATAATCCCCTAGATTAAAATAAACGGGTAAACATTATTACTTCTCTTCAAATATACAAATTACCTGATCGTCTAGTATAACTTTTATACCTACATGTTTTGCCACTGCATATAAAAACTAACTTTATTTAAATAAAAGTCAAATCAACTTGATCAAGCATCCATTAACATTATCAAAATGGCTTACTATCAATCCGATGAAGCGAACGATTTACAAAACATGTCGAAACAACAAAATATTGCCAACACTACAGAACAATACGTTCCTAATTATTGGACAAATTATGGTAATTATAACTTTTACACAAACTTGGTAAACGATGATAAGAAGCAGTTATCACTTGGTAGTAATCAGTACTACAACAACCAGAAGCAAGATGTCAAAACGAATAGCCATTCTATTTTGCCAAAGATTGAAGCAGATTTACCTACTATAACCACCTTACCGGCAGCTTTGGGAACCGAAAGCGATTTCAACAATGAAACCCCGAAGAACCAACAATACGAGCCGTTCTATTTAACAGGAAACCAATATTATAATGCGTACTTTTCCAATATGCATTACTTTTCGCATTACCTTCCACCATACCAGCAGAACCAATATCCTCCCAACAATACAGAGTTACTTGGAAAGACCGTTCAATACAATCAGTTCGCTAATGAACCAAAGCAACTACGTACCACCTCGGAAGCCCAAGAAGAAAAACCAAAGCACAACTGCACATTTTGTGACCGAGTATTCACAAAAGCCTGCTACCTAATACAACACACCAATGCTCACCACAACGACCGAAGACAGTTCAAGTGCACGAAATGCGGAAAGAAGTTCCCATCGCAGGAAATCCTTAATGCTCATACGAAGAAGCACATCGGCGATAAACCATATAAATGCAGCATTTGCCCAAAGCAGTATAATTTTAATGCTGACTTAAAAAGACATATGTTTGTGCACACTAAGAAGACCAATCCTTATACTTGCACCACTTGTAGCAAAAGATTTTCAAGGAAGGATCATTTAAGGAATCACTGCTTGAGTCATGAGAGGAAAGCTGCCTTAAAGATATTCATTTATGGACCATAAGAAATAAAAAAAGTGTAAATTTGTAAATAATAATATAAATATATTTTCTAATATCTAGTATTTTTTTTATTTATCGGATACTGCAAAGGCCTTACACAAGCCTCCTTTGGACAAGTATGGGTTCATTAAAGAGAACATTAGTAGAAGAGATGAAGTAACATTAAGAAACTCGACTTGGGCAAAAACTTAAATGAAAAGATTTTTATTTCTTAAACAAAATTTAACACCTAGCTACATAAATGAACACAAAAATAACATACACGCAATTAAATAACACCCCATTTAATATAATTATCAGTACTAGCGGTGAAAAGACTTGAAAAGACATATGTTGCACAATAAAAAAGCCAATCCTCGCACTACTTGTGGTAAAGGATTTTCTAGGAAGGACAATTTCAAGAATCACTGCCTAAGGCATGAGAGGAAAGCTGCCTTGTATCATAAGAGAAGTCCTAACTAATACTAAATATATGTAAAATAGTGTAAATTAATATTTATGATTTTTAAAATACTAATATTTGATTTAAGTTTTTAACATTTTGGTTGGAAATGATTATAATTATAACCTACCAAAATTGTATTAATTAATTACCTAAACGTAAATTATAACTGTCTTATCAAGGCAACTGTAAATAAAATCTTATATTTAATTAATTTTTTTGTTAAAAATTGACAGACTAAAGCAACTTTTCAAAATTTGTAAAAACAAGACAATATTAACAAACTAGTAAACAAATCCCTGCTGGGTCCATGGGCAAATAACGGTGACCTCGGAACCACAACAACCAGAACTATTTAACAGGAAACCAATTTTATAACGCGTTCTTTCCCAATATGCATTACTTTCCACCACACCAACAGAACCAAAATTTACCCAACAATCGATGCAATCAAGTCGCCGAGGAACCCGAAGAACCACTTGTACCAAAGCCAGTACTATCTTACGTGGGACGTGCCACCGCTAAAGCGCAAGAAGAAAAACCAAAGCACAAATGCACATTTTGTGACCGAGTTTTCACGAAAGTCTGCTACTTAAAACAACACACAAATGCTCATCACGACGACAAACAAAAATACAAGTGCATGAAATGCGGAAAAAAGTTCGCATCGCAGGAAATCCTTAATGCGCATTCGGAGAAGCATAGCGGCGATAAACCACATAAATGCAAAATTTGCCCAAAGCAGTACATATTTAAGGCTGACTTGAAAAGTCATATGTTCGTGCATAATAAGAAAAACTATCCTTTTATTTGCACGACTTGTGGTAAGGGATTTTCGAAGAAGTATCAATTCAAGAACCACTGCTTGAGCCACGAGAGGATAGCTGCCCTGTATGATGAGATGAGAATCCATAATTAATTATAAGGAATATTGTGTAAATAATGTAAATACTATGACTATAGAATATTAAATACATTTTTATTAATAATTTTTAATAATTCTATCCAACCAAAATAATATTTTGATAATCCCCCAGATTAAGATTTTTTCAAACTCTTCTGTAACAAGTTTCGAATACGGCATATTCCGCTATAGTAAAATCAGTGTTTATTGTGTCATCCGGTGATACACAGTAAAAAAAATATGTGTTAATTTTAACCAAACATTTTGTAGATTTAATAACAAAATCCCATGTCTTGTAACTTTTAAAAAGGACCTTATTTTTGCAAACCTTTTGTAGACCCAATAACAAGAGCATTTGATGGAAATTGGAAACTTAAATGAAAAGAATTTTGATAAGAAATGTTGCTTTATGAATCAATTTCCTAAACAAAAAAATTAACTCATACCTACATAAATTAACACAAAAATAACATACACACAATTAAATAACACACCATTCTTAAATCATCAAATTATAAAGAAATTTGGTAAAATATAATTATGAGTATTACTAAAGTTACTTACTTCACTGTATCAAGTAATTCAGTTTGAAAACCAGTGATGGCATCTTTTTTCGGATACTTCGCACACTCGTTAAATAGGTAAATAGGACAGCCGAATAACAATAATAACAGATTTCTGGTAATATATTATAATTATGATCTGGATAGTTGTTACGAACACGTAACGAATTAAAATAAAGTAAGCAGAAACATAAGTTGCAGACGCTGATGTCAGTTGA